TGAAAGAGACTAAACCTTTTGGATCGGCTGACTCTGCCTCTCTCTCCGGCTTGGTCCTCGACATCACGAGAGAAAGTGACTCGTTATGACACAGTTGCACAACCCGATATCTTCACATTTCATGCATCTCCTCGTTTCTCTGTTGATGTCATCCATGGCACTTTGTCCGCCCATTATCTCCATCGCTCAGCTGCACAGATATGACGCGGTCCCATTTCAATTCATTCCAAGAATTGGCCAATATGGTCTCCAAGTCCATAGGCCGAGTTGCCTGGGTTGCCCGCGTGATATCATCTATGGTTCAACCGAAGCCAGCCCAACCGTATCCTTAAGCAGCCGAGTCGGCAGAATATGAAGACGCAGGTTTCCAATCTGCCCGTCCAGCCTTCCGAGCTCTAATTACCTTGAGCCTGGGTCCAGAAGTCGAGGCTAGCAATCACATCCTCGCCCATTTCGTCCTCGTAAGCGTACAAAATCTGACGGTGGTTAGCACAGCTCCAGGAGCCCAGGGTGTAATGTCGAGACTCACCTCTCTCGTACTCGAATGCAGCATCCGTACGTTCTTCCCCGTCATGACGTGGATCAACTCGCTCGTCTCGATATGGCGAATCTCAATGAAACTCGGCTCGAATGCCAAGATGTAAGGGTAATTCAGCGCGAAAGCCTGCGGTGTCCCTTCCCACGTAATCTTCCAGTCCGGTCTGGCGCGCCATCCGTTGCGATTAACGAAGAAGCTGAAGTCAGAGTAGTTGAGGAGGAACTCGCCGTTAAGTCGCTCAATGTGGATGGGTTTGACGTTTTCTTTGCGCGTAACAAAGTCAAGGGATGTGTCGGCTTGGTCGAGAAGAGATTGCCGCTCGGTGGTTTCCAACGAGACGACCTCGAAGCCTCGGGCGCAGCCAACGCAGAGTGTTGAGCGGAGGTAGTGTACCGATGTTGATTCGGCTGGGATGTAGAATTCCTGGGCCGAACGTTAGCATATGCAAGCATACAAGCGTGTTTGTAGTACAACTAACCTTGAACGGTTTCAGAGCATCTTGACCGCTAGCAAACATCTTACTGATTGCCGGCTTCTTCTTGCCCTTATTCAGGTCGTCCATAGGCTCGTACACCTTGATGGTCGTGGACAATGCCGACGTCTTGACGGAACAAACCAGGTGGCGCCCTAAACCAATTCCAGCTTTGAAGAAATTGGCGTGACCCTGAATTTTGCGAGGTCTCGTTGCCAGTGGGTTCTGGTTATTCGGGTCCAGAGCATCAAAGGGGTACGAAGTCAGAGTCTTGTTCGACAGCACCAACAGCAGCCGGTACTCTTCCAACGTGTCAATTTGTGACACTTGGGTGGCGTCGAGAATGCGCTTAGGCTTGATCGATTTGTCTTTCGGCCATCGATCAGCGATGTAGATGCCGTTGTCGGTCCCGTAGATGAGTTTGCGGCCTCCGTCGGTCGGGACCAGGCAATTGACGCGATTCTGAGCATTGAAGAAACTTTCGCACAGGATAGTCTTGTTGTAGAAGGAACTGCTGCGCTGGCGAAGCTTGCTCTGTTGTTCCTCGACGAGTTCAATGAACTTCTTGCGTTGAGTGACCGAGGTGGCATACAGTTGTAGTTCGTATGCACCTTTACCGAGATGACGGAAAGTGATCGGATAAACCTCTTTCTGACCAGGTGTGTTCGATGAAGACGGCTTGGTGCCGGGGATCAAGCTAGATGAAGAGCGTTTTGCGATGCCCAGACGAGGAATGACTTGATCCATCTCAGCGATAACGAGAAGCTCCAACGGAATGGGCTTTCTGTAGACCCGCAGCTCTTCCCGCTTGTTCACAGTCTTGATTCTGCACATGAGCACGGCATGATCGAACAGATAGACCTGCACCTCGGCGTTGTCGGTGGGTGACTTTTTGAAGCTCATCTTGGTGAGGATGACGCGATTTTCTTCTGTCAGCTTAAGATCCGTGTATTCTCCAGCGTTCCACTTGAGCTGTTGATTCAACTGGACCAGGTTGAAGTGATTCTCTGCTTTGCCGCTTTCGGCGTTGACTCGAGCCAGGAAATCTTTGATCAGACCGATAGCCTTCGGAATGTCCTTCTTGTCTGGGTTGTCATCTTTCGTGTACTTCAGAACATTGTCCAGCAGGAGAGGGTATCGTGCCAGTCGCGTGGTTGGCTTCGTGAGGTATCCGTTCAACTCCAACTTTCTCGACTCTTTGAGGCGTTCAGTCTCGTCGACGAATCGTGAAAACGCCGGGTTGGAGCCTTTCTCTTTCTCGAATTCGTATTTGCCATACATCTGGTTTGCGCCATACTTGATGAACGGGTCAAACTGAGGAACCCACTTCAGGAAGACATCACCAATGCTGTGGACCACGTGTTGTTCTTTCTGCCGCTTTGACAGCTCTTCTGCAAATTTGCCATTGACACTCAGGACTTCCAAGCAGTTGCCAAAGACAGTGCGAACAAACTTTTCACGTCGCTCTTCTTTGATGGGAGAGTTGACATTGCCAGCTCCACGAAGTGGTCTGATCCAGAAATCACGGAGATATTCCAGGTCCTTGACAAAGTCACGTTCAGTGTACATGATCTCTGAGATGACCTCCTGTCTCTTCTTCTCCTTGTCATCGATCTTGTCCGCGACCTCCTTTGGCACACTATTGATCCACAGCTTTTGTTCCTGATCGTCTTCATGGAGACTGCCTTTGGAGTTGGAATGCCTAAGGCCGGGTTGGGGTCGTAGGTTAAGTCGGGCTTGCTGTTCCAACCGGCGTGGGCATGCGATTGAATAGCAGAGGTTGTCTCTTGTGCATGTCGGCGAATAACATTCTGTAAGCAAGGTGAAGACCCCGTTGACGTCTTTGGACGACGCCTCTTCACCCATGGTCTCTCTGAAGCGATAGACCTCGCCCGGAGCGTCCCTCAGACGATGCTCATATGTGACGTCGTGGAAGAACTTCTGGGCATCCAGGGCGCGGCCAAGGAGCAGAGCAAGGTTTCGGTCGGTAGTCTTGATGATGTAGGCGATCAGATCGACAGCTTCGGCACCTGTGAAAGCACTCTTGTAAGTGAGGTCATTCTTGGTTCTGTCGCCGGCGCCAATTCGTTCCTGAAAGGCGGTGGCGACGCGGGACAGAAGGGCAGGATAGACCAGCGGCGACTTCCGTTGGACAATTGTCTGGCCGCCCGAAGAATGAGATGAATTAGGAGGTCTACTACTCATCATGCTGTTGCTGCGAGAGTCGTTTAGAGTTGTTGTCGGCGTCAGGTCAGACGGGACTGAGGTGGCAGAAGCGGCAGAGATGGTCCTGGGCGGATTGCTGCCCTCACTAGGGCGCCGTGCCCTCGGCGTCACGGCGTATGCTGGCGAATTGGACGAACTGAGAGACCCGCCGGGTGAGGCATGGTTATCTGCGAAGGGACTATCTGATTCTGATTCTTTCCGTCGATGAGGCACCACTCTTCCGCTTGTTAACTGCTGCGTATGGTCACGATCCAGAGCATAAGAACCCATCGACATGGATCTGTCGCCGTCGACTCTTTCAGGTATGTGTCTTCCCTGTGCTGTTGTTCTTGACGCGCCCAATCCAGCATACGGCTGTTGCCTGAAAGCACTGGCGGTGCCCTGTTGGAAGCTACTCGGAGGCGGACGGTAACTCAACGTCGGCTCGCCTGGTCGCACCATCGACCGCGACCTGTAGGCATCATTGTTCAGGGCAGGCGGAGGCATTCGGTTGGGGATCGGCTTTCGATCGTACGGCGACGTCTGCATGGGATGGGGAATGCCCGGGCGTGTGTCTATCCGTTGAGGCGGAGGATATGGTCTGCGATCGGGGAATGTAGGTGCTGGGTTATGCGGAGGAGGCCTTGAAGCACCGTTCGTGCCATTCATATAAGGCTGAACCGGCGCAGTGCCGTTTGATCGGTCGTACGACTGAGGCATCGGACGCATCGAAGGCGGCGGGCCTTGTCTCATGGACATGGTATGTTGCTGTTGCAGCGTCATGCTCTGGCTTCGATCGTACATGGGGTTCGCCGACTGGGTCGTCATGGTGTGAGAGCGCCCCGGAGGAGGCGCGCCACCGAAGATGTTGTGGAAGGCGGCATCTCTCTGATCCGCGGGACCTCCGTGCTGGGGAGGCGGCGCTCTCGCGCCATAATAGCGAGACTCGGGCGGGCCATAGTCTGCCATGCTCATTCCGGAGAGATCGCCAGACAGAGGGGCTATCGAGCGAGCATGGAGATGTTGCAGCAGCGCAAGGGGGCTTTTTCTTTATTCTCCTCTTTTTGCAAGCACCAAGTCTTCCCCACCCAGCCTTCCAGCTTTCAACAGAAGGCGGCCAGTGCAAGACGGGTTGCGACAGGCCCAATGGCGGCCTTGTAACCAGCAGAGCGAGCGTCGAGAAGAGGGCCGGGTCGATATCGAGGTTGGATGTATGCGGTGTGGTGCAAGCGAATCGAGGTGGATGCAGGTGGTCGATCGATGGTTCACGAGCGAGCGAGCGTCAGAGATTACAGGAATAATGTCGCACAGATTCCGAGTGGTGCTTTCTCACCATGTCAGCAGGGAGAGAACGGTGGGAGCGTGTGTACGGATTAATGAGCAGTAGTGATGCGAGAACAAATGCAATGGCATAGTCAGTGTCTACGATGAGAAGATGTGTGAATCGATCGAGCGACGGATGGTCGTTGATGGCTAGACGAGCCGAAACTGGGGTTGCCATTGGCTGTAACTGCTCCCCTCAAGTCCAGCTTCTTCTCACTGGCGACGCAGGAGGCACCAGCCGCAGCCTGAGGCCCCGGCGTACACAGTAGGCTTAGGCTTACCTAGGTTTAGGCGTCGGCTCGGGCTCAGGCTCTGTGGCTAACGATCCAGGCGGCGTGTCGCATCATAGTTTAAGCACCTCGACCACGTCTTTGCACAATATCACCTACACATCACCAACACCTCACCTTGACCTCACCTTGACCTCACCTTGGCCTTAGCCTGCGACTTTGATCATCCACCATGGCCACAACCACACAAGGACCCGGCAGCGAGCTCTCGCCCAACTTTGCGCCCTTCTTTGGAATGGTAAAGGTCTCTCCATCTCTCGTGCCCGCGCTGCGCTAACATGTTCGAACAGGCAGGCATTGCATCTGCGGTATGTTGAGCTGCACTCACCCCACGCCCACGGCTTGTCGAACATGCTGACCGCCTGCGCCCGCGACAGATGATCTTTGGATGTACGGACCTGCAACGCCGACACCCCGTGCTGCAATGCTAAGAGATGAAACAGGCATAGGCGCCGCATATGGCACTGCGAAATCAGGAATCGGCATCGCCGGTGTGGGAACGTACCGTCCAGATTTGATCATGAAGGTCTGCCAGTGGACTCATCCAAGCCTTGCGCGGGTTCTGATGCATTCTTGACAGTCCCTGATCCCCGTCGTCATGTCGGGTATCATCGCCGTCTACGCCCTGGTTATCGCCGTCCTCATTGCTGGAGACATGGGTCCGCCGCCACAGCAGAATTACAGCTTGTTCACAGGGTTCATGCACCTCGCCTCCGGCCTCAGTGTTGGTCTCGCAGGTCTGGCCGCCGGATACGCCATCGGTATTGTCGGAGATATGGGTGTGAGGTGCTACATGCAGCAGAGTAGGATCTTCGTCGGCATGGTGCTTATTCTCATTTTCGGAGAAGTCCTGGGGCTGTATGGGCTGATTGTAGGCTTGATCTTGCACTCGAAGAGTTGAAGGGCGAGGTTGTCGCGAATATGGGCAGAGAAGGAAAGGGCTCCAGGCTGGGGCTATCGTCGCGTGAGCAAGCCGTGGGCTTGGAATATACACGTTGGGCTTGTCTCGACCCTAAGGACTACCAGGTAGCCTAGCACGGCCAAATGTAAATGTGCCTCCGTCAACGCTACATCTGTTGTTCTGTTCCTGTATGACTATTCTCTATACACCTACTGCAAAAACCTGCCCACATTCCCGCCAATATGCTTCAGGTCCAAGAGGAAAGTGTCATGTCCGAACAGACTGATATCTTCACCCAGCTCAAAATGCGTCACCTTCTGATTCCCCGTCGCCCGCAACGTCTCGGCAATCTCCCTTTGCTGCCACGCCGGGAAGAGGATATCGCTGGCCACGCCCATCACCAGAACAGGATGATCCTTCAGCCCTGCCAAGCCCCTGACGAGATCCAGCGGCGGTCCACCGTGCCCCGCGTCGACGGCCTCGTCCATGGGCGCAGTGGAGACCTGCTCCTCGTAGTTCTTGCTCGGCAACGTGAGACTGCACGATGGGTCACTCTGGGGTCCGGTAGCGCCACTCCGGACGCTGGACAGCTTCGCCTGGTTCTCCAGCCGCCTGACCCTCGTGGCCTCTTGGTGCGCCCAGCCGAGATCGAACAGATCCATCGCCTTGCTCACGTACAGCAGCGAGTTCGGGTCGTATTCGAGCGAGAACTTCTCGCCCGCGTGGTCGAGGTACGTCTCGATGAGGAAGTCGGGACACAGGGCGGGCGGCTTGCTGGGATCCGCCCTCTGTCGCCCGAAGCGGTTCTCCCACTCCGGACCGCTGCGGTATGTCACGGTGGCGATTTCGCGCGCGAGCTTCATCCCGGAGTGGGGCGGGATGCCGTCGTAGTAGAAGCCGCGATTCCAGTTCGGGTCCATCATCAGGACCTGTCGCTGGGTGTGGCGCATCGCGATGCTGTACGGATGACTGCGCGCACAGCCGGAAATGCTGACGATTTTGCCCACCCGGTCGGGAAAGTGCACGCCAAACGCCAGGCTTTGCATCCCACCCATGCTCGCGCCGACGCTGGCGTACAATTTCGTGATCCCGAGGCCGTCGAGAAGTCGGGCCTGCGCGCGGACCATATCGTCCATGGTCAAAATGGGGAATCTGGTCGCGTATCTCTGTCCGTCCGACGGGTCTGTCGACGAAGGACCCGTCGACCCGTAGCACCCACCCACCACATTCGTGCAGATGACGAAGAATTTGTCCGTGTCCAACGGCGCTCCGGGCCCGATGAATTTCTCCCACCAGCCGGGCTTGGGATTTGCCTCGGTGCTGTGTGCGTGACTGGAGGCCGACAGACCGGTATGTAGTAATATGGCGTTGCTCTTGTCTGCATTCAACGTCCCCCAGGTTTCATGGGCAATGTCAAACTCTGGCAGTATCCCGCCCCAGTCGAGTAATATGGGCTCGTCGCTGTGGAAGACCATGTGGCTTCCCGTAGTGTAGGACGGTTCTGGGCCCGAGGCAAGCGACCGGGTCTGCAGCGCAGCCGTCTTTTGCTCCTGGGCGTCCAAGCACGGAAAGGACATGGCTGGGTTCGACGACACCGGAGGCTCATAGTTCTCTTCGTCTCGCACTGCGGAGGCTGCTTGAGCACGGCGAGGCGCTCTCGTGTGCAAGGAGGCTGCATTTCTGATCTGCCATCTTGTGCCTCCTACGGGGCTTTTTAGGGTGGCAGCAGCATTGGAGTTCAACGGCTTCGAGCCCCGACTGAGCAGTCGTGCTGCGATCTGGGCGCCTCGAGGAACCGCCATGTCGAGGTATACTGGATGTGAGAATGGCAGATGAGAGAGAGGAAGCGGGGTGTCCCCACGACACACTTTTCACAATAGGATGACATGCATTTCGAGCGACTCCGAGAGCCGTTGATTACTGTACAAAACCAGCGAGTGTCAAGAGGCGAATCTCGCCGACGCAGCGAGCACGACATCGTCGACCAATCATCTTGCGCCGGTCGAGCCTCGTCACGTCTCCTCAATTCTCAGCTTCACCCGACGACGACGCCCTCTGCCACTCGGAATGCACTACAATGTCGAGCAGGAGTAATAGCTGTACTGCGTGTCGGCACGGAGAGAGTCTGGGTGCTGCCACGTCGGCGTGCGACTTTATGGAAGCTAGGAGCTCCGAAACCTCCTGAAGCCACCACACATCCCCTCTTCATGAATCTCGCCTACATCGGTCCATCCCCGAGCCTTGGCTCCTCGTGTTCCCTCTCGGCGTCGCTGCATTTGCAAATGCCCAGACGTGCTGGAGCTGTGCGTCTCGGCTGCTTCCATCGTCGATGAGGCTGTCGCCGAGAGCTTGGTAACGAACAAAGGACGCCACTTACCCTACAGTTTCGCTAATGTCGGTCCAGCCAGGCTGAACTCCTCACGAAGGCTCGCTCCAGAACAAGCTTCAATTGTGCAAAAGAATACGATATACACCTTGCACAAGGCCTCTGTTTAGTGAGATCGAGCCTTCCGTCCGTCCTGCCGCTGCTTCATGTCGCCAGTACCACAATGGTGAGCCAAACCTTTCACTCAGATACTGGGGCGATATAGAACTACAGAAAGACTCCACACCAACACCGAGGTCCGCTCGCGAATCTGACCTCCCCGCTGTCCTCGGCGTCGTCCACATCTCCAACGACGATGGTCCAGGTCGCCACAGTCTCACCGCCCGTAGGCCAATTCGTGATCCACACCCTGCTGCAAATCGCGGGCTTCGCAGTAGCAATTGCCTTTGGGGTATACGCTGTCAGATCCGTCCACGCCGCGGTGCTCGCGAACAGCTTCAGTCGGGAGGCGAACAGCTTTAGCCGCGAAGCCATCCAGCAGGCGTTGGCGGCGAACCAACTTGCCCTGCTCGCGACGTGCCTGCAGGCAGGGAACCAGGTGAGTCGCTGTGGCTGTCACGGTCACAACAATCCAGCACAAATCGATCGCATCGATCGCATCAATCGCTTCATCTCTGACTCTCTCTCTCTCTCTCTCTCTCTCCACAGACCGAAAATCAGGACATCACCGACATCTGCTCCCGGATCATTAGAGGTGCTGCAGACCTCCTACCCAGCGCTGCCTCGTCGTTGTTTCCCGATTTACCACCGCCTCCGTCGTCGAGCAGTTCCCCAGGTGATTCGTCGAGCACTTTATCACCTCCGACGCCGACGTCGACGCGATCGCCATTGCCCACGCCAGCGCCAACCGATCCCTTCCCTTCAGCCAATCGCTCGTCGGTCTCTACCGGCGCCGTCGCCGGCGCAGTGATAGGATCAGCCCTCCTCGTAGCCACAGTGTCCATCACCTGCATCTATATCCGCCGCCGCCGCCGTCGAAGAGGACACAGCAGCCGCCGCGGCGACCATGATGACTCCACCGCGGCTCCTACCCCTTCTACTCCTACTACTGCTCCTAGGCGCCGACCCGCCAGCAGCTTCGGGTCCATTTTCAGGGAGGTCTTTATGAATTCGACCATGACGAGCTGGACTCCCAGCGTAGAGGAGGACGTGACGACGACTAGGGATGAGGAGCGTGGAGGGCAGACTGAGAGGCAAAGGGAGAAGTAAGTGAGCTTTTGGGTCGGGCTCTGGCCCTGGCTCTGGCCCTGGCTCTGGCTCGAAGTCCCAAGTATGCATCCGTTTAGCTCCAGCTCCAGCCCCTAGCTTTGACTGTAGATCTATTGTTTATTGCTCTGGTCAGAGCGTCGATCCTACATGGCGATGATATGTACGTTGATTTGGGGGAATGGAGAGTTTAACCCCAGAGGACGAGGTCTATCGAGAGAGCTTAACGTAGATAACGCAGAGGACGAGGTCTATCCGGAGAGTTGGAAAGCTTGACCAGTTCTGCGTATAACTGTATAGTACCCGACTAGCTCAACCCCAGGGCATGGCCTCAGCTACAGTATGTTCGGTATGGACCGATCGTTCCATTAGATGCCCATCAATTCAAGGTGAAACGGTAGATAGAAACAGCCGTGGAGGCAACCCAGGTAAGCGACGTGACTCTGGTAGAATGTCTCTGTTTTCATCGCTATAGTTACACAAGAATCTCCCCTTCGCTCCGTGTTGACACGGACATGGCGCCGCATTTCTGCCCCCCCCCCCCTCGCACAATGCAACGCTTCCACTTTATCTTGCTGTTTGCTTACAATTAAATCTGCTCGGGGTATCTTGTGCATGTAATAGAACGACACGTGAGATGGTAGGGTCCTTACCCCATAATCCAACGCAGTTCCGACCTGGAACGCGAATCCGTGAAGCGGTCGAAAACCATTCCGACCTCGCGCACCTTTAGCTTGCTCAATCCTCCTTCTTTTCACCGTTGTTTCCTCGCCCGTCGTCGTCGTCATCTGGCGTAGGGCTAACAATGATCTCCGGTGGAGGCTGCGAGGCGACGGGACTCAATGTCCCGCCAGAAGACCGCTTGTCCTCGGTCGGTGAAGTCTCGTCATTCCCACCATCTAGCTTGGTCGTCGACTCTGTTGGTGACTGCATGGCCGAGTTCCTCCCCACGCTGCCCGTGCTCTGTTGTGCGGTCCGGCGTCTCATTCTCCTGGCCTTGCGTTCTTCATCGGCTCCGTCCCTTCTCCTTCGGACATCGATCTCGTCGCCAGCTGAGGGGGCCGAACTTCGCATTTCCTGCAGTGCTCTCAATGCTCGATCGGCCACATCCTCGCTTTCGCTGACATCGCCCTTGCCGCTGGCGCCATCCGTGCTGAGGTTGTCGTCGGTCAATCTTTCTGCGATAGTGAGACCACGACTCTCCTCAACACCATCTTTGACTGGCAGCTCCGGAAGCTGTTGGCCACTCGCGACCCTCAGGTCATGCCGTTCCTTGAGCCGAGCACGCCTCCTACGGTCACGCTGATCCTTGACCTGGGGTGCCGCAGCCCGCAGTTTCTCAAGCAGCGTCTCCATCGCACCGTTCGCTGGAGGACTGCCAGGGGTCTCGGCACCACTTGCTCCGCCACTTGCATTTGCAGTGCCGGCGGCTCGCTTTCTTGCCAAGCTGGCCTCGAGCCGCCGCTTGTTCTCCTCCAACACCACGTTCTTCTCTCGCGACTTCTTCCACTCGGTGACGAAACCACCCAGTTTGCCGAAGAACTCTCGCCGAGCATTCTCATCTTGGTTGTCTTCGCCGAAGAAGGTCATAATATCGTCATACGTCCTTGAAGCCTCTTCCAGGTATAGTTGAAGCTGGTCCGCCTTGCGCCTGGCCTCTTTCATAGACCTTTGCACAACCTGCGCAACTCGATCTTGAGGATGGAACTTCTTAGGGTCACTCAGATTGCCGGCATCCAAAGAAGACTGGACGTTCTTGATGTTCTCGATGTATTTCTTCGCGTCTTGCCGAAGCTGGTCGACGTTGAGTTTCGAGGCGGCCACGACACCGGTAATCTCTTCGACAAAAGGCTCCCACTCTGAATATTGATTCCGAACAATCCGTTCAATGAGATCAGCAAATGTCGTTTCGTTCTTGTCATCCTTGACCATGCCCAACCGAGCAAGAGAGCTGAGCTTGAAGCCGGAAGCTTGCTTGTTGGAATCGTTCATGTAGTTTCCAATGTCAAGAATGAGACCCAGGACGTTCATGAGAGATGTCGAATCACGGATAGCTTCGGAGACATTGACCACTTCCTTCAGCTTGGCGGAGATGTCATCGTACTCTTGTTCGTAGCTTCGTGTCAGAGCAAGAGCTCGCATCCTCGCTTTCCAGTAATGGTGCAGCTCATATGCCGTCTGCAGATAGATCTGATCTTCCCTGGTCAACTCGGACGGATCTTGCTCACGCTTCGATGTCAAAGCGTCCGGTCCGGTCCAGTCCTTGCTATACGGCGCCATCAGCTTGGCAATGTTCTCGGGAATGGTGCAGAGATCTTCTCGCTGCAGGAAATCCATGACCACGTTGTTATCGAGCACCTCCCTGTCGCATTGAATGATCTTTCGCACGACATCGTCAGCGGAGTCATTCTTGAACTTGGCCATCGAGACGTGGAAATTCCGCATCATATCAGAGCTGATGATCTGCTTCTTGTCACTCTTGCCTTTGCTACCAGCCCCGCCGATTATCTTGATGTCCTTGGCGATGAAGAGCTTCTCGACCTCGTCAAGGACACCCTTGCGTTGAAGTTCGCGGTATTTCTCTTCTTTAGATTCGTTGCTTGCGTTCTCGGCCCAGACGGTGACTTGAGGCGTGTCGACTTTGTCCCAATGGAACGCCTTGAGCTTCTTCTTTGGACGCATGACAGGGTTCTTGAGCATAGGCACGGCAGCAATAGGTGACTGAGGTAAGAAGTGTCCGTGTTGAGGACCCGGCATGGGAGGAGCTCCCGGAGGAGGCGGTGGTATCGGAGATGAGGGGCTCATAGGCAATGAGCCAGGAGGTGGTGGCGGAGGCGGGGGAGGGCCTCCAGTGAATCCGGGTATGGAAGGAGAGACGGGCATGCCGGGAGGTGGAGGTGGAGGCGGTGGCGGAGGAGCTCCAGCTTCGAATCCAGGAATCAACGCAGGGCTTGTAGAACCTGGACCAGAAGGTGGTGGTGGTGGGGGAGGTGGTGGAGGAGGACCGTTAAATTTGGCCTCCTCTGCTCGTCCCTCGTCGGGCGGCGTTCGGGGGGACTCGGACTCCAGGCTTGGATGTGTAGGACCAGTTGTGACACCAGCGTCTTCCGCATCGGCATCGGCGGGTGCTTCGTCGCTGTCGTCGTCGATCTTTTTGAACTTTGAGGCCAGTTCGCCGAGCAGGTTATTCTGCTGGTTCTGCTGTTCTGCGGTAATCTTCGGTCTCTTGAACTCCACAAGTCTTGGCTTCTCGTAGACGACATCGTCGTCGAAATCTGACTCTTGCTCGGCCTCCTCGCTGATCGCAAACGCCTCCAGTGCTGCTCTCCGAGGTCCCTTATGAGCATTACTTCGATGGACGCTTCCCATAACACTTGTCGTGAGGTGTCGCTTGGTCTTCTCCTGGAAATCGGCGTCAATGGCATCGTCCATCTGCTCACGAAGCTCCCTAAGCCGGTCGGAGGGTCCGGTCTGGTTCCAAACCTTTCCTTCAAGCTTGAACTGTGTCTTGGTCCGCTCCAGGTTGCGCTCCAGACGGTCCATCAACTGCTGCCTGTCCAAAATGCCTTGCAGCTGAGCTGGATCTTGGACCGCTGCCCCCTCCTTACCAGCCCGAGAAGCTGCAACGTCTTGAGCATCGCGAAGCATCAGGTAGAGCTCTCTTGTCTCCAACTCATTCCTCTGCAATTCTTGGGCTCGGATCCGTTGAAGGTCTGCTACTTCGGACTTGAGTGATTCGGCCTGCCTTTGTTGCATTTCGATTATGCCAGCTTGCTCCTCAATCTGCTTCTGCAGTTTGGCGACCAGCCCGTCAGCGCCCATGGCAATCTGGGCGGCCATTTCGTCTCGTTCAGCGAGCGCTGCTTCGGCAATCTGCCTCGATTCCGTGGCTTCATCGAAAGCAATTCTGGCCTCGTCGTCGGTATGCAACTTGTCCATCAGACTCTGCACCGTAAAATTCAAGCTCTGCTTCAAATCCAGATCGGGCAACCGCCTGTCCATCGCAACGTAGCTGAGCATCGACTCCACAAGCTGAAACATCCTTAAGCGGTCTTCTGCGTTGTTCTCCCTAAGTATCATCATATGCTGCATCGCCGAGATGAAGTAGTCTTGCGACCTCGAACCCTGGATCCTCTGCATGATCGCGTCTGTGATTTGCATTGGATCCGTCATGTCCTTGACGTCGCCCTCGATGCTCTCGACCATACTGCTACCATCCCGTTGTAGTATATCCTCGTAGTCGATGGCTTCGTTTTCCCGGAACTTGGCAATCTGTTTGTCGATCACCTCGTACTGGAACGATTCCATCTTGGTCAAAATCCGCCTGATACCACATGCGATGAATTGAGCTCGTATATGGCATCGTAGTTGCACGTCCCGTTCCGGGGCATCGATCAACATGTTGATGAGGACAAGGGTCGCCACGGCGTATTCCATGAGAAGATTTTCCATGCCAATACCACCGCTTCGAACCTCTTCGCTTGCGCCCACCATGCTGCCCATCTTGCCGCGACCATCGATGGTGACTTCGACGATTCGCATCCACGCATCGAAACGACCGTTTTCGCTCATTTGATTCTTGACCTTGTCCATAGACTGGAGCACTTTGAGGTGGCCCTGGCCTTCATCCCAATGGCAGAGGAATGTGAGGATCTCGCTGATGAGCTTTCGGGTCGTCAATCTCGGCGAAATGAGACACGCCGCCAGAGAAATAAGGACCTGGTCGTGTTTCAAGGCATCGTCGGCGCCATACTTGTTGTTCATCAGTGCCTTGAGGCATTTGACGATATCGTACTCCCGTTCCAGGTCTTTATCGCTAGAGTTGGCATTATTCGCTGGAGCTGGGCCATTGGCCTGAGGTCGATTGATCTTCGTCAGCACGCTGGTCAAGGCAATTTGACCTTGTGCTTCAATAAATGCCTTGACCCAGATGATCGGCTGCGTGCGCAGACTGACACTCAGACTCTGCAGCTGCTTCGACGTGATAGTGTTGTCCAGGATACGCTTGACAAACCATTCTGGCGTGCCTTCAACGTCCTTTGCGATGGGACCGTCGACCGTGCCGGTCTGTCGAGCCTGCTGTCGTCGCTTCTGCTCGCCTTGCCATTCCGTCAGCTTGTCCTGGTGCACGAGAGTCCATTTCTTTGCCGGCGCGTATGCCATCATTTGTCGCCTCGCCTGCTCGGGCAGATTCTGCCATCCACGCTTGTGCATGAGCTGCAGGAACAATTGTTCGATTTCAGCGTCGCTCTGCGGCTTGGGGAGATAGAAACCCGCGGGGGTGAAAGACGTGGTCGAACTAAAGGGTGAAGCTTGTTGAGCCGGCCACCCCGAGTGCGAACTGATCTTCGAAAGCCTGGAATGAGTCGGGGAAATCACTGTTACCGACGAGTCGGAATCTTGGCGTGAGGGCATGGCTGTTCTGGTTGAACTCTCGGAGGTGAAGAGGCTCGAACCCCTCGTGGCCGTGGACGCCGTCGACTTTATGCTGGCGCCATCAAAGGACCGTCTTTGGCCTGACATCGAGTACGAGTCATTGGTGGACACTGAATCATACGTCCCGTGCTGGGTCCCGTTGCTGCTTCCAGGTCGGCCCCATTGTTGATATTTTGTGCCCCTATCACCTGCTTGGCTCGACGCCATTGTGATGCCACCCGTGCTATTGCTTGTCGCCTGAGGAGGCGGGCGAGGCCCGGTAGGGTGGGACGAGCCATTTGACATGCCATTGATGGCTGGGTATTGGTGAAAGTCCGATCCCCTGGCGAGTTGAAAGGGTTGAGGTTCCTTTCGCGCGGGCACTTGGTCGTCGCGCGGGAGATATTCGATCGCCACGGGCGCGTGGCCACCCGAGGTGGTAGCAGAGTAAGGGATCGAAGTAATGACGCCGGCGGTCATGTTGAGACCCAACGTGTCGGCGTCCTGGCCGTCGTTGGAGGCTACCGACTCTCTTTTCGAATGACGCGACCCCCACGAGCCATTGGTGTTGGAGGAATCCAGACTTCCACCTCCATCATATCGGCCGTCACCCTTGGTGTCTCGGTTGCGTCTGAAGAAGCCTCCTTTGCCTGCGGACGACTGTCTGGTCGTCTTTTCGTTCGAATTTACCTGGGGCATAATCGATGAGGCGCGGGTGAGGGAACAGAACGCATGTGTCCAGTTGTGCGGTTGTTGTTGCCCCGGAAGGGGAAGTCCACCTGTTTGAGACTTGCCCTCCTCCCCTCTTTACAGATCTCCCTGATTCTGTGACGTTCTCGGCTTCGGCTGCGGGACGGTGGTTATCCTTGCATTGTCACTGCGCTTTTCTGACGCCGATGCAGCTGTCGTCGACAACTCGACAGGTCTCCGTCCGATGTGCACGTGTCTTCGGGAGTCGCTCGCTCGCGGGTTGGGACAAAGAAGCGAGCTGGTGGCTCAGCTGGACACAGCGGTAAACAACCGACGGGGATTCCGAGAACAAAAGCAGGCCGGACGGTCGCGCAGGTCAGCGAAAGGCAGGAGGCCACGAGGTCAACAAAGGAACGAGCAAATGCTCGCAGTCGACAAACGATTGAGCAAGGGGACAAGACGCCGTTGACTTCGGCGGGCAGTTTGTTGGAAAAGTCGTAACGGCGGAGGTGCAGGCGACGGTCTAGTGATGGAAGCCGCTCAGCAAATGGCCGAGAGCGTCCTTGCAGTTGGTGGCCTCTGGGTGGATGGATGCTTCCCGCCAGGGGTTCAATCAGATGGGATTTTAGGCATGCGCCAGGCCGTCGGCCATTTACGCAAACTCCATTGCTTAGGCGGCTTGCTCTCCCTGCACCAATGGTTGCGGTTAAACGATCCCCTACTCGGGCTCCCTAGAGATGGGATCAGCGCCCACTAAAAGCGTGGCCCTGCCTCTGCCTTCCAGAGCTAAACCCAATCTCAATGCTCTCCATGCAGGCGGTACAGCGGTCGCATCTGCAGACGAAGCTCCATCCAAATGCGTTATGCGTTCTTTATGAACGGATTCCTCCACACAACTAGTCTGGTTCTGATGTGCCGCCCTGTCACTTCCCGTAGAGTCTGGCTTCTGACTGCGGCGTAGCAGTTCAAGCGTGATCATGTGTCTCTGCCATAGAACCTCGTACTGTGTAGTCCTGCAGGTGCTTCGTGGACGTACGGCATACAGTCGCTCTCCCTTCCCACTATTGAAGGGACCCTCCCACCTCGGGTCTGGACACTCGACGCCCCTCGACCCAGACCTGCCCGTTTTAGCCACGCCTAATCTTAGCTGGCGACTCTGAAATTGGACCACTCCAACTTCTTCACCATACACAGTATATATTACCAAGAATCTCTGCCCATCCCCTCCGCGCCGCCCACCATGGCGGCGTAATAATGGCTCTCGTGTACCTACTCACACGCTCGCTGCCTAGCACCATCGCAGCAGGAGGGGGAGAGACGCCGCCCGCTCCCGTCAGCACGACCTCGACTGCCGGCACGAAGGGCGCCGACATGGCTGGCGGATTCGCGACATTCTCAAAAGTACAGACAGACCCGGGATGAAGACAGAAAGTAGACCCCCCCACTGACACGCTATCAAGACAATCCTCCTGCCACTCCTCCTCGCATTGGCGCTGTACCTCGTCCTCTTCCACGCCCTCATCCCGCTCTACCGCCGGCACCGCGCCCGGTACGCCCAATACCTGCCCCTCCAAACCGCTTCGTCGCTATCCTCGCACCTACCGAGCTCATTACAACCCTCCTCTCTCCGGGACAAGCTTTCCACTCTCTTCCTCCGCCTCTTCTTGCCTTCGACGTGGGCCTTTCGCGATCGCTTCTTCCCCGGTCGAGGACGCACGAATAGTGTCGTGAGCGCCGACGACGGGGCTCTCTTTGACGAGGAGTCCGGCGAAGCCATGGTGGGCTTCGACGTGCAGGAGCGCAATCAAAGGCGGAACGGATTGGAGAGGCAGGTCTCAAATATGGATGCCGCAACCAGGACTGTCAGTGGGCAAAGAAACGAGAGTGTCGCCGTGGACTCGAATCGTCGGCTAAGCCGAGATCTAGAGGAAGGGTTCCGCGACGACAGTGACGACGAGAGCGAAGAAGGCCAAGTCGTCGTAGGAAGACGGAGTACTAGCACGAGGACATGAGCCGGCCTAGCCATGTCGTCCGGTGAACGGCACCAAAGGCCACAAAACCGAATATTATGCTTTCTTTCTCGAATTTTTCTAGACGTCCTTGGAGTCTTCCTCGCCCTCGAAATTGAGCCAGCCCAGGTAGGCGCGTGATAGAGTTCGCAGTGGCTACCAGCTGTAGTGGCTAGTACTTATCCCGCGACCCCTTTCAGCCATAGCTGCCTCTAATAACAGCGGTTGCGCTGTGCACCAGTCATCGACAAGGCATCCGCTTGTCAAGCACGAGACAACTCTACAGCATCATGGATGATTGAACATCTGTCAAAGCATTGTATTGAGCTCCCCATTCAATGGGACAGATAAATAGGAAATGCGGCTATATGTACAGTACAGTTGGTCCAGCAGACCGCTAAATGCTCTAGCGCTCCAGGCAAGCGAAAATGCAACGATCCAAGAGCTTTGAGGAGCATGAAAGCCCTGACGAACGAGAGCCCCAAGCCCGTAAATCCAACAGGCGCATCGAGCTCTGGCTTGTCATGCAAATCTGTCCCCAGTCACCCCGAACCAATGTCCCCCGACAAACCTGGGGTATCAATAAAAGCAAGAAGAAATTCAGCTCATTTTGTGGCGGATGGATCATCAGCTTTCGTCAAATGCATGTCTTAGATCTACAAGTTTTGCAGCATCGAGGGTTGAACGAGGTGACTCGGTGCCATCATTGGCTGAGACGTCATAGGGTGTTGCATGACAAGAGTCGAAGGAGGTGGCATGCTCATAGCCAGCATGCCCTGGACGCTAGAGGGCCGTGTAACTTCGTCGGGGGAGGACAGCTCATCCATGGAGCCGAAGTCGTTCTCTTCATTCTCCATTTCTTCTTCACTGTTCACCGGCGCTGGCTGACCATCTGGTTGAGACTCATGAGTGCGGCGGTGCCTGATAGTGATTAGTCTAATTCAGATCATAGTGCTTCGGGAAAACTCACTGAGCGAGGTTGTCAGATCGTGAAAACGCTTTGTTACAATAGGGACAGACGTATGGTCGTTCTTGAGTGTGTGTCCGGACGTGTCTAGAATTCAACCGTGTCAGTAAGCGCCAAGCAAGATTAAAGGCTCCCTTACTTACCGCTTGAGATGCTCGAGGCGCTTGAAGAGGCGCCCGCAGCTCGGGATAGGACAGGAGTGTGATTTGTAGGGAACACCGAGCTCCATCATTGTTGCACTTCTTGCTCGACGGATCGGCCCCGGCCTTTCCAACCGAACCGCGGGGCTAGCGTGCAGCGAGCCTGAGTGCATGTCGTCTCCAAAACTAGGCATGGGTTCAGTACCAGCCGACAGTTGGGACTGGGACGGATCCTCTTCCAGACTTGGCAAAGGCGTGCTGCGCCGGGAGAAATCATGGAGATGATCGCGGTTCACCAATGAAGAGGCGTAACTGTGCGCAAGATCGGGGGGGGACTGATCGCCAGTCTCGTCGCCTTCTGCGATCGGCAGAACAGAGCTCGACATCGACCGACGCAGATCACTCGGTCTTTGAGGGAGGTGCGCCTTGATCCCATGTGTAACCTGAGCAACTGCGTTGGCTGCAACGGCATTCATGATGGATGAAGGGATCGAGGAGCGCCTCCGTCTCGCCTTGTAAGTTGGTGATCCTTCGATCACCGAGTAGACATTTGAAGGGGGAAACGGTCGAGGCGCGGCAACGTGAAGCGGTCCTGCAAGCGTTGACGGTGGCAAAGAGTGCATTGGGTTGTATGCCGGCATATGTTGCATTTCCGGGATGGCTGAGTAGAGACCCGTATCCTCATTCGCAATATATGCGGGCTCTGCGCCATGGATGGCATGTTGAGGAGGGGTGATGGGCTCATAGGAAAGTCCGCGGGTGCTGTAGTCTTCAAAATGCGACGACACAAAGGACGGAGCAGGCGAATACTCCATGTATGCAGGCATCGAAGCGTGACGGATATGAGCACGGTCATAGGCCATGTGCGAGAAATCCTGCTCTCGCGACATCCCCACGGTTGCAATCGGAGCTGGCAAGCTCGGGTTCATGCCCATTGTCGTGAACATGGGTTGCATTGGCTGCTCCTGTGACCGCGGCATCGGTGTTGGTACCATCGAGGGCGGAGGCATGGAATCCGCTGCTCGAAGGACCGGCGATGTTGACTGAGAGTAGTTCACATTGGCATTGGCAGTCGCGAACGAAGACGAACTGGCTTGTTGGGCCTTCGTCAGTTGCTCGAACAGCGACTGTGATGAGTCGAACTCAAACGAGAGAGCTGGCTCTGCGACAGCTTTTGTGGTGGCCTCCTGACCCATCTTCTCGCGCTTCAGATCTCTTTCCAGAGCATCGAGAAACAGTCGATCATGAGGCACACTGTACCAATAGAACACCTTCTGCTTCTTCTGTGTCCGGATGCAGTTGTTCTTGTATAAAAAGTCCAGGAAGGGGCTCTTGGGCTCTTCCAACGATGCGTCGGTACCGGATTTCAGGTTCCGCAGGTCGGAGAAAATGCCCTCTTCGAATTTCTTCGGGTTCTTGACGGGTCGGCCGAATGCTTGGAAGCGGAAGGACAGACACCTCACGATATCAGTGCCAGATACGTGAAAGAGGTTGTTCCATAGCACACAGGAGACATATTCGCCCGTGGGTAGGAGGAATCTTCGGATGAGAGAGTCGGGGCTCCAGTCCACGGGTGCGGATATTAGAAAGTATTTTAGGTTGTCGACTTGTTGTAGGGCGACTTGCGCATCCTGCGGCAAGCTTTGCTGTGCCTCATTTGAGAGCATAAATGTCTCTGGCTTTTGAGGTTGAGCCATCGGTGCGCCACTTGATGGAAACATGGCGGTGGCTTGAGGAGTGTCGACGCAGTCGACAAGGCGAGAGAGGAAGAGGAGGTCCTGGCTATCTTCACCGAGGAGTAGCGAGTGGTATGCTCGGTGCTCGCAACAGGGTCAAGTGCGACTGTGGCACCCTCGCTGAAGCGTGTGGTCTACACAAAGCAGCTGCGCAGGGGAGGATTCGAGGTGGGCGTCCTCGTGTCAAAATAATAGAGCAGCTGGGCTGTGCGGCGTTAACGCGAATAGCGAATGTGTCGATGATGTAAATGGAGTCAGTGCGAGAGGCCAGCTTCGCAAAACGTCCAGACGTGTGGTAGAGCTCCTGTCTCGAATACCTGGGAAGCGAGCACAGGTGAAACGAAAGTGGGTAAGGAGAGAAGCTAGTCTCTCGAAAAGTCCTCAGTACAAAGCCGGGGACGGAAGGGAAGGTTTGCAAGGAAGAAGAACTCGCAGGATGCTGTAGCAACGACAAGGTGAAACAGATCGAGGAGTGATAAGAAGGTAGAGGTGTCGAGGTGCAAGAGGTAGCAAAAGGAAAAGAGGAAGAAGGTTGTGTAGACACAGAGAAGGTCGGGGGGTGAGACCGGCAAAGCGAGAGACAGGCACGCCAACTGGGAGAGGACTGAGAGCGCGGGCAATTGTGGGCGCGGGCGTTCTAATACTAAGAGGCCCGGCTAGTCCGCTTTCCCCGCTAGCACTTGCTAGGGTGCGACTGCTCAGTGGGCAGTCAGCCTTTAGGGGTGCCCGGGACGAAGATCTTGGGCATGGATTACTGGCGAGGCGCTATCCACAGAAATGCCATGAAGAAAGGGATAACGTCGTCTACGGTGCTACCCTCCCTTACTCACGGCCAATTGATGCTATTACCCGCGAGTCCAGCCAGCGTCTCTCAGCGAGGATGACTCGACGTTTCCCTGAACGCGTTTCCAAAGGGAGGGCGAAAAGCATTGGAGCTGGCTTGCCGCCACGGGCGGAACTGTAAATGCTGATGGCATGCCTGCTCGTCGAGTCCTCGCACCGTGCCTGGCTGTCTTGTCCCCCCCGCTGCACTGTCCAGGTTCACGCTTGGGGTTAGCCGCCACTTTTAGCCTCCGTCCGTCCCACTCTGAACAAAATCGCGCTAGAACAGGTACGCCAGATCCACTTGCTGGTTCTGTTCACCTTCCCTGCCGGTGAGTCGTGGACACGCCGGTGATGTTGACCTGTGCGGTCGTCGCATGTGGTCGGCACGCTGCGATATGCTTCCCTCCGCTGCTACTGCTCCTTCCGGCCCCAGATCTCCTGCCCTTTATCATCGGGAGTTGGAAGAACCGGGATTCTCAGTGCCCTTGGAGCTCGCCCTCATCGATTACTGAGACAAATACTGCTTCCGCTGGTCTATTTTGCAGTAGCGAGCAAACCATCTCGCTTGTTCCTGCGGAAGGAAATTCGGCATAATAGTTACGATAGTGGGAGGTACGAGTGTTGACTATCGCAGCCATGTGCTCCACAGCCAACACCTTGACCATGAGTTCCTGTGCCTTTACCCGGGCCAGGCGCAAGCCCTCACAGGATTGCACAAATTTTCCATCTTCGTCCCTATGGTGGACAAGCAAGGCCAATCCCTCCACGAAATGCTCTTTGGCACGGCGACGTTGCTATTTTGACCGTAGTAGAGGGGTCAGAGGGGCCTCCATGCATGGAGAAGTTGCCATCCCATGGTCAGCGTGCCGCTGGAAGCAAGCAATCGCAAATGCAGCCTGCAGACCAAACTCGTGGATTGATGAAACGAGTGGCTGACAACGGCGGACCAGCTGAGCGAATAGTCTCGCGTTGGCGGCTGTCTGGGTTGCTGCCGGTCCACTCTGGCGCCAAAGCCACTCAACCAACGGCTGGATGATTCAGAAACACATCTCAAACAGACGCCCACGGCGAAGGCGTGTTTCGGACTAAGAAAAGCTGCACCTGCATGCGGAGGAGATGCCCGACATCCTACGAGTATTATTGTCCGCAGCACTCAAGAGCGCGGCTTCCTTGACCCGATGCTGACTCCTGTCATGTTGACGCTGGGATGAAAGTCTCCTCGCTCTCGGTCCCCACAAGTGTAAATGCAGAACAAGACCCGATGCACGTCTGCACGTCTTCATTTCGTTTTTGGACGCCCCTTTCTTTGGCCTGGTGACTGACCAATAACGAAAATATCTCCGAATGCATCCCGATCCACCGACGCATAAGCGTAATTGTTTGCACGCTTTGGCTAAATCAGGTCCATGCAGGTCCAGCTCATATCACGGAAGCTGCAAGCGATGATACTACGGGGACACGATGTTCAGGCACATAGGAGTAAAATCACTGGCATGGGGAGGGCAGAGTAGAGTCTCGCCCAGCCTCCGCGAGATCCGTGAAGTGCCCCGCTGATGTTCACGTCAAAAGGATAACTCTAATAGAAAAAGCAGCTCACCTTGCCCTGCGATTGGTGTGTTCGTGCCGAGTCCGAGTTGACAGCTTGGACAGCCCAAAGCAAATCGCAGTGCAGCACACGTGACGGCGAAAGTGACGCGCCGCAAGCCCGTCGCTGGACACCAATTACTTCTGTTGTCAGGTCACAGTCCTCCCCACAATCCTTCCAGCTGTCCTTCGTCCAGCGCTGGTTGGCTTTGACGTGCGGATGCAGCTGCTGGCTCCCCTTTTCCAGCCGGCGGAGGCTTGCGCGGCGAGGAACCTGAGACTGGCGCGCTCAAGCTCTCCGAACCAACAGTTTCAGAAGGCGAGGGTCGAGATGCTGGCCGCAGCGAGTCGATGTACGAGTAGACAAGCTTCGTTCGCAGACGAGCATCTGGGTGACATCTCCAGAATCTGGACGCACGCGCCATCCCCCTAGGGTTGGGCGTTCAGATGGCGCTACGTTTCATCTTGTCTGCTCTTCTGGCGCCACATTGGCCACTGCACAGTGACCTCGACCGAGGAAGCTTGAAGTCACTTTGTTCCTGGAGAGGAATTTCTCCGTGCGTCGACTGATTGGGTCGTCCATCACCCGATGTTCAGTAATGCACATCATCAACGCAGGATTTCGTATTTCTAGCTTGGCTTGGCCACTCCTTTCTGCAAACCTGTGAGCCTCCGCCGTTGGAGGCTCGATCGGGCTTTGCAAGTGACTGGGAAAATAACCCGCGTATGCGTTCATCAGTTCCCTCGACGACGTGCAGGTAGCGTTGTGCTTCGCACTACCATCGATCTGTGCATGGCTCTCCGCACACTGAAACATAAACGCCTGGCCGGTGTGTCCTTACTGCCAACGGCCAAGTGGCGTAATCGTGCCGAACATGGTCAATCCTGGCAAATCTCCGACGAGTAGTCCCCCTCCCTTTAGGGAAAGTCCAAGGACGTGGTCGAGTCGCAAAGGACCCAAAGCATCCAAGCAGTCAAACGAGAATACTTGATCACAGCTTACTATTTCCAAATGCAGTGCACGTCGGGCACCACGGATCAGGTCGACGCCAGAGCACTGTGAAACAGTTGATATGAGGAAGCCTCGCTTGCTCGACTGGGCAAAGTCTGCCATGATAACCGACTCCAGCTTCTGTGCCTATCGAGCCAAGGCTGAAGCAGTGGTGTGACCGTGAACCGTGTGTCGGACTCGAACCGAGCAGGCAACAGGGTCGAAGAGAGCAGCTTGTTTCAGACCTTGCTGCTGTTACTGGGAAGCTGCCCTAGATGAGCAGACGCAGCATGACAAACGGCCTCCCACCCTCCAATGACCATAGAGCGCTCCGTGAAAAGGCCCCTCCCGGATAAGCCAAGTGGTGACGTTAGCACGGTGAATACAGAGTATCCTGGTAGAACTTGAGACGCACTTCGCTGTTGGGCACAGTCCAGAACGAGTAACGATGGGTGCAGAGAAGAAATGACTTAGTGGCCTGTGAGGTGCTGTGATCACGGCGAAGCCTACCTCGCACAGCATTACAGCAGAGATCATAGATCGGTCGTTGCCTATGGTCGGCGTAGTTTCCCGCGAGGCCCAGAGCGACCTTGACCTTGAATGTCGAGCACATCTCTCTTGCTAAGCATCAAGGTGCCTCCTCGAAACTTTCCCACGGCAGGGACATCGACGGCCCGCTCCCTTCGAAGTTCTTTTGTTCTGGACTTTGCCACCGCCTTCTCCAGAATGATGCCATTTTCTGAAGCCTCCTTTCGCCGGCCTTTCTCCCGGGCTGCCGCTTTCGCAAGGATCCCCCTTCTGTGCGCCATCGGCATCTTTTCCTGGTGAAACACGGACCCTTTCGATCCCAGAGACTGCAATCGCATGTCAAGCGCTTTGTGCCGATGGCTACCCAGTGTGGACGAAGCCTTCGCCTGTTCGAGCAAATGGGATTCTTTGAGCAATCGCTGGAGATCCAGGTCATGTTTCAAGTTGAGTGCTTCTGAGGTGTCTTCTTCGTCGACCTCCTGAGCAGACTGTGTCCTTGCCACACGCCCGACTTCTTTCGGAGGTCTCGAACTCTGTCCAGAATGTCAGCGTCCAGAAAACTCGAGTGCTTGTTCCATGGGCCTAGGCACTCTGCACTCGGCACGCACCATGAATGCTTTGTATTGCTGCCTCTGTAACTCGGAATCTTCCGCTGCACCGATATCTGCTCGGTGCTCAACAATCTGGATCATAGCATTGTCTGGCTCCAACCCCGGTTCCGACTCTGACAGACCTCCCCATTCCGAATCTTCATCTGGAGGTTCGCCCACTTCGTCGGCATCGGCTAGAGAAGGAGAAGGACTTGTCGCAGTCTGAAATTCGGGTATCGGTTCGAATACGGATTCAAAATGTCTGCGAAAGACGTCATGATCGGAGGCTGAAGCGGGTTCCATATCTGGCTTCTCATCGTCAATGCGCGCAATGCGTCGAGATGCGATCGCAGTCTGGCGCTTGCGTTTTCCAAGCATTCTTGAGGCCAAATTCGGTATGGTTCTCGTATTGCCTTCGCAGACCTACGCTGCCACCTCAATCCTGCCAGTACCTCGCGTGACCGTGGTTGAAATATCCGCTGTGTGTTTGCCGCAAGGATAAAGTAAAATTGTGAGAAATGCGACGATTTCCTCCGCATCCACAGCCTTGCTTAGTCATGATACTCTCCCACTTCAGCCTCGCTTGTATTTTCTTGCCGGCGTTTTCAGCCTCTTCAAACATCATCCACTCTAACTCCACCTCGACGTTTCCCACAGATCTCCGGCTCGCTTGAAAGCTTTCTAAATTCGAAGCACTGAAGTTTTCTGGACTCAACGACGACAATGACTCGCTTCAGGCCCTGTATCGACTTGCACGCTGGCCAGGTCAAGCAGATCGTTGGCGGCACACTTAGCACCCAAGAGTCCGAGCTCAAGACGAACCATGTCTCGAAACACCCGGCCGGCTACTTCTCCAGACTCTATCGTGATGCAAACTTGCTGGGTGCGCACGTGATTATGCTTGGGCCGGGGAACGAGGAAGCTGCGCGAGAAGCCCTAGCAGCCTGGCCTGGACATCTTCAAGTTGGTGGTGGAATTACGGATGCCAATGCAAAGGAATGGATCGAAGCCAGTGCGGAAAAGGTAAGCCCTCTGTCTTAAGTCTATCAGGCCACCTGTGTGTATTGCATGAGGTCAGATTTGAATGTACGTATCTAAGGTGTACTGCACGGTAGGTCATTATCACTTCATTTCTGTTTCCCAACGGTCGCTTCTCCTTAGACCGGTTAAGATCCGTGCTCTCGACGTTAGACAACGACAAAGACAAACTAGTCATCGACCTGAGCTGTCGGAGAAAAGGTAATACGTGGTATGTGGCGATGAACAAGTGGCAAACTATCACCGAGATGGAGGTCACAAAAGGTAGATTGCACGGCGATGCTCGCATTTCCGGTGCTGACGCCAGAAACAGAGAGTATCGAAATGCTCGAGCCCTTTTGCTCGGAATTCCTGATCCATGCTGCCGACAATGAAGGCCTCCAGCAAGGCATTGACACCGACCTCGTCGCCAAGCTGTCCGAGTGGTGCACAATACCGGTCACATATGCTGGCGGTGCTCGCACCGTGGAAGATCTGGACCGTGTGAAGCAATGCAGCAACGGAAAAGTGGACCTGACCATTGGTAGCGCTCTCGATGTCTTTGGCGGATCTGGAGCCAAATTCGAAGATTGTGTTGCTTGGAATGCGGCCAATGCACAATGAACCTGTGCCAGCTCAGCGTCCACGCGAATCTGTACTCGTATCCAGCCAAGAAGTCGACATGTCCGTCATCTCGACGTCGGCACCACTTCTGCCGCCAAATGCAGTACGAGAGCCTTGATCCTCAGCAGCTTGTTCCCCGCCAACTTGATCTCCTGTGTCATCCTTCTGAGGCCCCGCAGTCACACCTTCGCTGTCTTCGTCCCACTCCGAATCCATGTCCTCAACCACCGCATCATTCCTGCGATACCCCAGCTTCACGCTCCATTTCGTCCCATCGACCTCTCTCTCAACCTCATATCCAACTTCGAGCTCATCCACGAACGCACCTCTCCCCCTCACCCGCAGTGCGACGCCCTGTTCGCACCAGTCCGAGATCATGTTCCTCCATTCTTCCCTACGCTTTCGGGCTTGGTGCATGTGTCTGGCCATGGTCCTCATCTCGCGCAGCAGCCTATCCCAGCCGGTCTGAGATATGAGCGGGCCGTCTTGCTCGCCGAGCGTGTCAATGCCATCCGTTGTTGAAAATAGCTGCAGGAAAGGCAAAGGCGATCCTTGCTCAGCCTGCTGATACTCTTCTCCTTGCCCTTCCTGCATCATTACCCTCGGAATGTCGGTCCCCGCTCTCCACAGCTGGATAGTCCCGCATAAGGCTTGCAAGTCGGCCTATCACCATGTTAGTACCGGGCAGATCAAACACAAGGGGACGCGAACTCACATTCACCGCCCTGGCACCGACTTCCGCAATCCACGAGTCGAACCAAAAGCCCATCGTCTGCGGGAAGGTGGATTGTGCCGTCGGCTGTTTCCGGCATGCGAGGCGCTGCTGTCGCTCCTCTTCTTCCTCCTCTTCTTCGTCCCAGTCTATCGACTCTTCTGACTCGTATTCCTCTTCACCCTCCACTTCTGTCAGATCCAGATTTTCTCGGTCCCCGTTGAGATTGGCAGTTGATCTTGCAATGTCGTGATAATGCGTCGGCAGGCCACGGCTGTGGCAGAAGCTGGTTCCACGAGCTGACGACGCGATCAAATCATTGGCCAAAACCTTCCATGTGGGCGTCGTGTCGACACCCACCGGTTCCGTGCTGCTTGGGGGTGAAGATGAGTAGACCTCAAGGATGGTCTCGTTGGAGGAGAAAGAGTACACTCGTCGGCGTTGTGATTCCATGGTGTCTCTCACTGAGTTCCTGGAGGACGCGAAAACATGAGACGGTAGCGTACAGCGTCCGGTGCGCGGCAGTCAGCACCCGGTGACTGTGGTCATATCTTTGTGAAGGAAGGAAGGCTGTGTGTGAATATTTCAGTAACGGCATTTAATTGAGGCCATCAGATTGGAACCGCGCTTCACCATGGGGCTGGGGTACAGGTCTCACTCACGGCCGCCTTTGAGCCCTAGGTGAGCATCTTTCACTCAATTGTCGCTGCATTGTCGCAAATCATGTAAGGCCCATACGCACAAGGATGACGGCTCAAACATTGAGTGACCATCGGCTGTAGTGAAGACTTAATAAACGATTCTCATCCACTTTTCCACAGGCTCCGGCAAGGGAGAACAAGTATTATTCGAACCATCCCATTGCGCCTGCGCTACCTGATTACAACTTGCGCAGTCACGGAAGCAATCCAGTTCGGAATACCCTGCGGAATTAGATGCGTAGAAGAAGCAATCCACTGAAAAAGGAGGCGATATTTTTGGTTCAAGATATCATTTCATTGCAGCTACCTGATGCGGCGCTGTTGCTCTCTTTAAGAGTGTCTCATAGGAAATACAGTGTCTCGTCTGTAGCTCATAAAACCCGCAAGTCGATTGCGAGGTGTCTGTGCCGCCAACCAACCATGCAAAACGTAAGTGTATCAATCTGAGGAATTGTTGCTAAGCATTGCAGGTTGGAAGGTTGGAACCGGTATGCGACGTTTCTCAATGGGTGGCCTTCTGCTTGTTGGATTCTGCAGAAGCCTGTTCTCGGAGTTAGTCGCGTCCACGCTCGCCAATGTGAGAAACATACAGAGTTGGAGGTCTCGTCGATCTTATCGCTCGCGGCGTCTTTGGCGGCAGAGGCACGGGTACCCAGAGATGCGTCTGAGTCCTTCGCGACGGATTTGTTCGCTTCCTTGCTGGTGCCGCTTGTGACCTCCTGGGTTTTCTCCCCAACGTAGCTTTCAGAGGAGTCAGCAGAGAGAAGGATGGACGATACCGGCGGACAGTAACATACTTGGCTGCGTTCTTGACGGACTCCATTGCAGATTGTGATTTGTAATTGGTGGACTTTTGGTAGACGTTTGCTTTCAGGGGCTGGGTTTCGATGCAAGAGATAATGTAGAAGTGGAAGAACAGTGAGCTGGAAGGCGTATTATATGTGAAGGATCGTGGCATCCAGCGAAGCACCTACGTAGGGCGTTTGGACAGCGATGAAGTCATACTAATGTTCTCAGGGAGAGATGACGAAATCTGGGCGGCCTACGCACCATACGGAGGAGTTTCCCAGCCACTTGTTCAGACTTAGCCACCTGGAGGGAGCGGGCCCTGGCACGAGGAGGAATACGTACTCCGTATTCACACGAGTTACCAGGATGTGGCGCGTGACGTCTCGACGTTGACGCCATTGATCCCAGCTGGCCGCATGCGCAAAACAAGGAAGGCAACCCAGCTTGCATGCCGCGCAGAGTGTACGGATGATCTCGTTCATGACGGCACTGGCAGGCCGTGCAAGACCCGAATAACCTTGTGTGCCACACTCGTACCTCGTAGTCCTGGAGAGAGGACAAAGATGACGGTCCTCGAAGCGTCTTTGGGTACGCTCCATCACCGGCCGAGTCGATTAACGGTGTTACGAGAACCACAGGAATTTTTTTCATCAGCTAATTCCGGTCTATCTACAATGCTACGCTCTGCTAGCTCTATGTCTGAGGTGATAACGTGTCCATCTTCTTTTGCAGCTGCCAATCTCGCCACGTCGTCGGCTTGACACCTATTGCCCATCGTCGAACCTCGCACAGCCACATGTTACCGAAAAGAGGGCGTGTTGAGAGGTCCGTTCGCCAGTGGCACTTTCAGCACCACGTTCAAAGACTTCCGCAGGTTCTTCCCCCAAATATGCCGAATAGCGGTGCTCAGTCCGGAAGTTCTGGTAGAGCTTAATGACATAGGTGTTCACTGAGTTGAAGCCGACCCCTTGTATCGCAGTTCAAGTGTTCCGGAGTAACCATGGGTTCATTGGCGATTGACTCTTCGCACGTCCTCCTAATGTAGTACTGTTGACAGTAGAAAAAAAAGGCAATGCCCATGGGGTGCGCCCTCGTTCCCTTCTTGTTGGATGAGGCGGCCGCGATAGTGATAGAGTTTAGGAATACCCAGTGTCCTGGTGTAACTTCGACAAAAAGCGATTCTCAATGTGTTTCGTTACTCTCCTCTTTGGCAGAACATTGATTCGAGGCGGTCGAGATACCCTGAATCGGCACTACCCGGTAGATAGCAGGTGGCGATAGCGAAAGTGCGGCATGTGGTCTCGCTCGTAGGCACTGAGGATTTCAACACAGCTCATCGTGTAAGCAATTGATTGGAGCGTGGGATGGGGTTGATCCGCTCGCTAACACTGGATGACGTTCGTTCGAGAAACAACGCGGTGACACAAAGACGTTCGCCAAAGGGGGCATTTTGTATCGGCGCACGGACTCGTGATTTGATATCGTTGTCGAAACCTGTCTTGGTTGCTGATCGCATTGTCACAGGAGGCAAGCGTTGCCGGTACATTTTTGAGTGTAGCTTCACCTCCACGGTGTATTGGGCAGCGCACTTTCGTTATAGGACAGCAACGAGGGTGTTGTACTCGTATTGTGGCGGACTTTGGTCAGGTCGTAATATGACGAGCGTTGCTCGTTCTTCTGGAAGCTGCTCGCTTCAGTGCGTCTCCTTTCCGTCCACGGTGCGCATTCTCCTTGGTTCACCTTCACACAAAGATCCTGCCACACTATCGAGGACGTAGTAGGGATCTCGTCGGTGACCATCCCCATTTGGAGCGACGGTGCTGCTCCCGCTCTGCCTTACCCCAATGATCGTGGCAACTCGTGGCTGTGAGGTTGTCTGTGGTTGAATGGACTAGGAAGAGGTATCAAGTTGACCGCGCAGATCATGGCGTACTTTGCCTATTCCAACTGGCAGCTTTCGGTCCTTACTCACCACACAGCGCTGAGTCCACTCGTACCCGACAACAGACGTGACGTTTGTAGCTCCCACGTCAAGGACCTGCAGAACAATTAGCTTTTAGGACAAAGCGAGCGTTTCGTGCAAAGTCGATGTCTCACCTTCCTCGAGGCCATAGGGAAGAGAATCGCCGGTAACACTCGTTGCCCCTCTCTTTCTTGGAGACGCTATCACATCCGATATGGCTTGAAGCCGGCCACCTCCTTTCTTCAGAACTGCGAGCGACCGCGATTCCTTCAGCTTGTCACTATCCTCCCACTCCTTGGTTCGTTGCCCGTACTATGTTGATCATCGTGAGTTGAACCGTAGCCTGGGCGCGCACCAGACACAATTCTGCAACCGGTTGTGTCGATTCTGTTTGTCTCCCGATCAAATCATCTCTGGCGCTCTATTTCCCTTCGTTTCTTGGTTTCCATTTTGAAACTCCGTGGAACATACTGAGATCGAGCTGGTAAGTATGGTACTTTGCTTCGTGGAAAATCCTTTTGCACTTCCTACGGTATCCTTCGCTGGTCTATGGTCGATCTTACCCTAGAAGCACCTCCACGTCAAAGAGCTGACAGTGAATGACAGTGAATGTACCATGTCAGTATCAGAACACTTGGAGTGGAACATGCACCCAAGGATGCCGACTGCATCCAAGTCTTTTTTTTAGCAAACGCAAAGTAACTAGGAAGAAACATCAGGTACCCACACGTTAATATCAGCGGCGATCAGCGGCACTGATGTTGATGGTGTCGGTAGCATCGACGGTGTTGGTAGTGTTGACGGTGTTGGTGGTGTCGACGGTGTCGGCGCTGGTGCTGGAGTTGAGACAGAGCTAGTACTGTGATTGTAGACGGTGCTGTCACTGTGGTTGAGATAGAGCGGACGCTGTAGTTGAGACAGAGCAGATGCTGTTACTGCAGTTGGGATAGAGCGGATACTGTGGTTAAGACAGAGCGGACGCTGTAGTTGAGACAGAGCAGATGCTGTTACTGTAGTTGGGATAGAGCGGATACTGTGGTTAAGACAGAGCGGACGCTGTAGTTGAGACAG